TATGTCATCATCATTAACCACACATCCTAAGTGGGGTTCTGGTTTTCTTTCGGCACCCCTCGCAAGAGCAGGATGGAAGGAACACCCCTCTTCTCACTCACACACATTCACATCATCATCGCAACAACAACATCACTTACACACTCACTCACTCGCACTCACCCAACCATTTTCATTCACTCACTCCCGCGCAGTCACTTTTCCTGGGTGGCTCACACTGTCATTCACAACTATTACTCACGACTCATCATCATCAATATTCCCCGCAACCTAAATGGGGTTCTTGTTCTCTCTGGACATCCCGCGCAATCCTGTCACCTCACCCCCTCTCCTGTTCTGCATTCGCAGGTTCACTCGCTCGATCACTCACGCACCATCATCATCATCATCATCATCATCATCATCATCGTCATCATCATCAGCAGCATCGCAATCATCAGATCACCTTCAGCTTGATCATCACTCGCTGGTGTCGTCTCGGGCGGGGGTTTCGTCTGTGAATGAATTGCGAGGAAGTGCCAGGCGGGAGCCCGCTCCCTATGGGGCCCGCGCTTCGTGTTCGAATCCGAAGCGGGTCGTCGGCCTCCTGTAAGTAGCGTCTTTTGGGTTCATGAGGCCTGAATGCGGTGGAGGTATGAGGCGGGAGCCTCGTCTGTGAGGGAATCACGAGGAGGTCTCAGGCGGCGCTGCATGCTCGAATCCGAAGCGGGTCATCGACCTCCTCTGCCCGTCGTCACTTTGGGGCTCCTGAGGCCCGCAAGCGGACGAAGTAGGAGGCGGGAGCGTGTGAATGAATTGCGAGGAGATTTCAAGCGGGAGCCTCTCTTCTATGGGGCTCGCACTTCATGCTCGAATACGGGGCGGGTCATCGGCCTCCTGTAACCGTCGTCACTTTTGGCTCCTGCGGCCTCAATATGGACGACGCATAAGGGGGGCCTCGTCTGTGAGTGAATCGCGGCGAAATCTCAGGCGGGAGCTTCCTCCCTACAGGGCCCGCACTTCATGTTCGAATCCGAAGCGGGCCATCGGCCTCCTGTGACTGTCGTCAGCTCTGGGCCCCTGAAGCCTGAATATGGAGCAAATATCAGGCGGGGGCCTCGTCTGTAAGTGGACCGCAAAGAAGTCTGAGGCGGGAGCCCCACTCTATGGGGCCCGCACTTCATGTTCGGATCCGCTGCAGGTCACCGGCCTCCTGTGACCGTCGTCACTTTGGGGCTCCTGACGCCCAAAAATGGATGAAGTATGAGGCGGGAGCCTCGTCTGTGAGTGCATTGCGAGGAAGTCTCGGGCGGGAGCGGTTTCCCTATGGGGCCCGCACCTCACGTGCTTTCTCCGGGTCGTCCACCGGCGCGCGCTTCCACTGGGTCGTCCTCCGGCGCGTAGCCGCTGGGACACACGTCGCGCGTTTCCTCCAGGTCGTGCTCCGCACGAGGAAGAGGAGGAGAGGGAGGAGGAGGAGGAGGAGCAGGAGGAGGAGGAGGATGCAGGACGAGAAAGGCAAGGAGGAAGAGGAGGAAACAGAGAAGGGGAACAAGACGATGAGGAGGAGGAGGAGGAGGAGCAGAAGGAGGAGGAGGAAGAAGAAGAGGATGCAGGACGAGAACGAAAAGGAGGAAGAGGAGGAGGAGGCAGAGGGGGAACAGGACGATGATGATGATGATGATGATGATGATGATGATGATGAGGAGGAGGAGGAGGAGGAGGAGGAGGAGGAGGAGGAGGAGGAGGAGGAGGAAAGGAGGAGGAGGAGGAGGAGGCAGAGGGGGAACACGAGGAGGAGGAGGAGGAGGAGGAGGAGGAGGAGGAATGCCCTGGGAGGCGCCAGGAGGTCCCGGGAGGCCCAGAAGGCTCCAGGAGGCCCCAAAAGGAGGCCCCAGGAGGGGGCAGGAGGCCTAAGGAAGAGGCAGGAAGAGAAAGAGGAGGAGGAGGAGGAGGAGGAAGAGGATGATGAGGAGGAGGAGGAGGAGGAGGAGGAGGAGGTGGAGGACGAGGAGGAAGAGGAGGAGGAGGAGGAGGAGGAGGAAGACGGGAAGGAAGATAGAGACGGGGAGGAGGAGGAGGAGGAGGCGGAGGAGGGAGAGCGAGAGGAGGAGGAGGAAGAGGAGGAGCAGGAGGAAGACGAGGAGGAGGAAAAGGAGGAGGAAGAGGAGCAGGAGGAGGACGAGGAGGAGCAACAGGAGGGATACGGAGAGGAAAAGGAGGAGGAGGTGGTGGTGGTGGAGGGGGCAAGAGTCGGAGAAAAAGGAGGCAAGGGTTGAGGCAGGAGGAAAAACAGGGAGGATGAAACCGAGGAGACAGGAGTAGGCGCGACAAAGAAAAGAGGCAGGAGGATACCCACGGGCAAATTAAACATATTATCATGTGGGGTCCCACCGTCGTTATACCGTTTCCCCACATGGAAAATTGGTTTGTCTCCCTGGACACCCCGCGAAGGAATAGGATGAAAGAAACACCCCCTCTCTTCTCACTCACACAGTCACACACTCACATCATCATCGCACTATCATCATCACTTACACACCCATTCGCACTCACCCGACCACTTTCGCTCGTTCACTCGGACACAATCATTTATCATGGCTCACTTACTCCTTCACAACTACTCCTCATGACCCATCATCATCATCGTCATGACTCACCACATCCTAAATTGGGTCATTGTTTTCGTTGGGCACCCCGCGCGGGAACAGGATGGAAAAACACCCCCCTCTTCTCTCTCTCTCTCTCTCACACTCATCACAACATTAACACCACCTACATGATCACCCACCCTCGACTCATTCACTCACACTCACTCACATATCCTGACTGGCTCACCCACTCACTCACAACTATTACCCAACACGCCATCATCATTACCACAACACCACCGTCAACATCGTCATTATCGCACACACTCGCGCACACATCCACGCGATCAGCTTGAGGAGGTCTCAGGCGGGAGCCTCGTCTGGGAGTGAACACCATCACTATCACCCATCACCACCGTCACCATAACCACCCATCACCCGCCACCATCGTCACAATCATCATCGTCACAATCACCCATCACCATCGTCCTCAGCATCGGAGGAAGTCTCAGGCGGGAGCCTCGTCGATGAGTGAATTGCGACGACGTCTCAAGCGTGAACCCCCTCCCTACGGGGTCTGCGCGTCACGTTCGACTCCGGGGCGGGTCATCGGCCTCCTGCGACCGTCGTCAATTTTCGGTTCCTGAGGCCTGGAAATGGAGGAAGTATCAAACGGGAACCTCGTCTGTGAGTGGATTGCGAGGAACTTTCAGGCGGGAGCCCCTTCCCTATGGGGCCCGCGCTTCATGTTTGAATCCGAGGCGGGTCATCGGCCTCCTGCAATTGTCGTCACTCTTTGGCTCCTGAGTCCCGGGCGTGGACGAAGTATGAGGCGGGGGCCTCGTCTGTCAATGAATTGCGAGGAAGACTCAAGCGTGAACCCACCTCCTTCTAGGGCCCGCGCTTCATGTTCGAATCCGAGGCGGGTCATCGGCCTCCTGTAACGGTCGCCACTTTCGGGCTCCTGAGGCCTGAGTATGGAAGAAGTATCAAACGGGAACCTCGTCTGTGAATGAATTGCGTGGAAGTCTCAAGCGGGAACCCCTGTCTATGGGGCCCGCACTTCACGTTCGAACCCGAGGCGGGTCATCGGCCTCCTGCAGCTGTCGTCACTTTTGAGCTCCTGAGGCCTGAACACGGGCGAAATATGAGGCAGGGGCCTCCTCTGTGAATGAATTGCGAGGAAGTCTCAGGCGAGCGCCCTCTACCTATGGAGCCCGCGCTTCACGTTCGAATCCGAAGCGGGTCATCGGCACCTGTAACCGTCGTCACTTGTGAGCTCCTGAGGCCTGGATATGACGGAAGTATGAGGCGGGGGCCTCGTCTATGAATGGATTCAATCTCCGGCGGGGGCCCCCTCCCTATGGAGCCCGCGCCTCACGTGTTTTCTCCGGGTCGTACTCCGGCGCCCGCCTCCTCTGGGTCGCCCTCCGGCGCGCAGCCGCCGGGGCGCGCGTCGCGCGTTTCTAAGTCGCGTTCCGCGCGAGGAAGAGGAGGGGGGCGGGGCCGCGACCTTGACCATCCCTGGGCGAAGAAAGCATGGGTCTCATCGTCCTTGCATCGCCCGGCGGCAACTCCGGCGAGGGCAGCGACTATGTCACTCGCTGACGCTGGCGGGGTGCGCGCGCCCTCTGCGAGCCAGCGAGGAGAACGCAGGCCGCAGAGGTGGCAGCCCATCAGTAAAACTAACATACAGAACGTGGCCCCTATCGAGACGCTCCTCTGCGTGCAAATTGTGGCTCAAGGAGAAACATCTCTGCTGCTCAGTGGGGGGCGACTTCGCCCCCCGCTGCCTTTCCCGCGCCCCTTCGGGCGCGGCTGAACCATCGCAGCTGCGGTCGCGCGGCCCCGAGATTCCAAGAAAGCTCCATTCCGGAGAAAGGGGGGGGGAGGGGCTAGAGGAAACAAACTCACCGCTCAGAAGGTCCCGATCCAAGAGACTCCTCAGGCGCTCAGAACTCACTCGACCTGCCAATCGACGCTGCTCTACTGGCCCGAGCCGCCGTGCAATTCGTTCAAGAGCGCCCTGGCGCCCCTCTCCAGAATTTCCTGTGGCGCCGCGCCAGTGGTGATCTCCCCTTCCATCTTGATGATCTGGCTGCGAAGCGCCTGGTCCAGGCGGTCGCCCTGCTCCCCGACGTCGACCGCTGAAGGCGCACTCTGCCCCCCATGCGCTCGCTGCTCTTCCTCGCCTTGCCCCGCGGCGCCCGCGGCCTGAAGTAGCGCGCCCCCCTGGACATGTCGGCCAGCCCCTTCTTCATGGTGACCTCCTTCCAGTGCCCCAGCAACGCTGCGCTGTCTTCCCCTTCCTCGGTGCTCGCGAGCAGCGCTTTGATGAGGTCCTTCCATGCGCGTTAGTGTGGTGGGCCCAAGGAGGCCAGCACCGAGAGCAGCTGGGAGCTCACCCGGTTTGTCTCGTGGCTCAACGAAATGAAGGTAGTCCAGGAGATGACCAAGGACCCGGTGGAAGCTCCAGTGGAGTCTACCAGGGCACGAGGGGGCGCGAGGTCATCTCGCCGGCGCACAATGGACGTGATGATGGAGGACGAGCTCGACGAGGAGACGTTGCGATCGGCCCACCAGGAGGAGCTGACAGCCAACTGCCAGGTCCAGAAGGAGATGCTGGCGGCTCCGGGTCAGCTCAACCAGAGGCTGGAGCGCCTCGAGGCGCCGAGGGCTCCGAGTTCCGCGGACAGTTTTATCGCAGTGGAGCACAGTCAGAATGGTCCAGCCGGGGTTTGAACCACGTCAAGGAGCTCGACCCGAGGAAGCAGCGATGGCTCGCGAAGTGCATCAGGGAGAGCAACAGCACCGAGGACTTCGAGGCGCTGATGGCACATGGGGGGGTCAAGCTCATGGAGCTGGCCTGTAGTCCCGCATCCATCCTGAGCACGAAGATGGCCGAGAAGTTTGGCGAGGAAGCAGCGCGGCGGGTCAGCTCGTGGAGCGGCCACAAGCTCGGGACAGCCCAGGGTAACCAGAAGGCACGGGAGACCAGGGACAAGGCCGAGCCCGACCACCTCTGGATCAGCACTCGGCGTGGTCCCCTGTCCACGCTGACCCTCGGTTTCAACGCCTCCAACCCGGCCAGGGGCAGAGGCGACCAGGAAACGATGGCTCCAACAAGCGATCAGAGAGTACAAGGGCGCGGTGCAACTGGTGTACGACCAGGTGGCCCAGGGCAGGCACGCCCACTGGGAGTGGCCTATCAAGTGCGAAAGGTGGGGCCATGTCATGATTCGCCAGATGATCGAGGACTGCTCAATGACCGTGGTGAAGGTGGCCGGGTGCCAGCTCGGGGTCAAGAATGAGAAGGGGGAGCCTCTCCTGAAGGAGTGGCTCATCGCTACGACCTCACCGAAGATGGCGGCTCGGATAGCCACAGAGTGCCCAGGAGGTCACCGGCATGGCGAGCTCATGGGCGGGGGCCTCACGGCCTTGACAGGCTACTACACGGACGAGTTCGCCCGGAGGGCCGTGCGGGCCATGATCGAGGAGGCCGCGCCGGACCACCACGAGTTCTTGCGGACCAAAGGGCACGCCTTCGCGGGGCAACTGGAGTCGACCTCACCCTCCGAGGACCCTGGCTCCAAGGAGTACCAGAAGATCATGCAGTGGCTCACATCTGTGCACCGATGGTCCGGTCACAGCTCCAAGGCATCCATGCTGAATGCGCTGAAGAGGAAGGGGGTGAGCCCCACCAGGACTTCCACTGCGAGGCGCGCGAGGAGGCGAACAACCGCCGCCCGACGCACCCGCCCGTCAGTCTTGAGGCCGCACCCCCGAAGTGGAAGCAGATCCAGGCGGACCGATTCGAGTGGGAGCACCCCTGGACGAAGCTCAAGGCCAAGTTCTCGCTGATCATTGACGAGAACTGCAAGGTCCGGGTCACTAAGCTGTTATGCCACATGGTGGGTCAGGACCGCCACAGGAATCCCGTCTGGCAGACCTCAAGAGCTTCTACGAAGAAAGGTGGCTGCCGTACTTCGGGAAGCCGCAGCGCGTGAAGGTGGACCCCGAGGGCTCCTGGATGTCCAAGCAGGCCGCCCAGCATTTTGACTCGGACTCCATCGGATACGAGCCGATCCCCGGCCAGGCTCACTGGCACAGTTCCCTCTCTGAAGAGGCGATCCAGGCAACCAGGGGGACGATGGACAAGCTCGTGACTGAGAACACGGACACGTCCACCGAAGAGGCCCTGGCCCGCGCCACAGCAGCCGGGAACTCTCGGGAGGACGCACGAGGCCATTCCCCCTTGCAGCGCGCGCTGGGAAGGGCCCCTGACCTGGACGGCCATTTCTTCGAGAGCGACTTCGACGAGCTGCCCTGCGTCGAGGCCCAGCGGGTCGACAAGGAGTACGGCCAGAACTACATGGGGATGTGCGCGGCCGAGCAGGAGTACCTGTGGCAGGTGTACCTGCGTCGCCTGAGTCGGGCAGAGAATGCCAAGAACCAGTCGCTCAAGGCCGTGGCGCCTGGCATGTGGGTGCGCTATTTCCGCAAGGAGAAAGGCGAGGTCAAGGGCTGATTCAAAGGGCTCGCGCGGGTGCTCGCGGTGGAGACTAGCCGGCCCGTAGACGGTGACCTTGGAGCAAATCCGACACTGCATCCAGGTCGTGCTGGACTTGTGGTCTGGTTGGTCCGGGCAGGACGCATCATCAAGGTGGATTTATGCCAGAATCCGGGCTGCGTCCGCGCGGGAGATCGCCTGCGCTGAGCTCATGGCGGGCAAGGGCGCGCCCTGGACCGTGAACGCATTCATGAATCAGGCGATGCGGCAGGAGTACCTGGACTTCTCGGGACACGACCCCACGGAGCAAGACGAGGAACTCGCATCCTGGGAGGGGGTGCCTGAGCCAGCGCCTCCGATGAAGAAGGCGCGCCACGAGGAGCCGCCGAATGAGACCAAGTCCGAGCGCAACTAGATCCCTGTGCGCAGGTCGACTCGGAAGAAGGCCCCACCGCCAGGAGGAGTGGCCAGCATCGCGAAGGCAGCCCGGGCCGCGCAGGCAGAGGACATCATGATAGAAGAGGCTGCCCTCATGGCCAAGGCACCCCCGGATGCCCGATCCTTCTGGGCAGGGGACATCCCTGGAGGTCTCGGTCGAGCTGCCCCTGGCAGGAAAGCCCCTGCAGCAGGCCACGAGGCACATGAGCACCTACATGGCAGGCCAGTTCAAAAGGGGGAAGCGAGAGATCTCAGAGCGGACCCTCACCCTGGAGGAGGTGAAGAAGTTCAGCGTCGCCAAGGCCGCCGAAGTGAACAACTACGTGATATCCTGCGTGCTGGAATCCTTGCCGCCTGGGGTCACCCCGCCACCAGAGGATGCAATGCGCATGCGGTGGATCCTGGAGCGGAAGGTGGACGAGACCACGAGCGAGAAGAAACCCAAGGCCCGGATCGTGGTCTTGGGATACATGGACCCTGAGTGCGAGCACCGTCCGACGACCGCTCCAACCATGACCAGGACCTCCCGGCACCTGGTACTGCAGGCTATGGCGTGGCTCGGGTTCAAGGGGTACAAGGCTGACGTGACAGGAGCATTTACCCAGAACCGGGAGATCAAGCACGACCTGTTCGTGATGCCCGTGAAGGAGCTGGCCGTCGCCGACCAAGTGAAGGGCCCTCCAAGTGAGCCCGGGCTCCCCTCCCGGGACGGGCGGTCGGCGGGTAACGGTTCCCTTCCCCCCCCTTCTGAGTTTTCTCTCGGCGAGGGGTCCAGGTGTAAAACTGGGGGAAATTAAATCCATGGGTCTTCGGATTGTGTTTCCTGCTTTGGTTGAGGGGTGCTGGGGCCATGGGCGAGGAACCGGCTAACCCACGGCCCTCAGGGGGCGCCCCCTCTGGATCTCTGGTGGGGGACGGGCTGTCGGTCTCTGGCGGTGGGTCTCTCGGTTGTTTCTCGGCTCAGCCGTCTCCGGTGTCTTCGGGGGACTCGTTTGGGGGCGGGACTTCACACACCCCACCCCCACCATCAGGCGGTAGAGGCGGTTGGGTCTCCGGACCTTCCTCGGCTGCCAGGGGGAATGGGGATCCCGGCTACGCCACTGGCCCCGGCGAGCCGGCAGGGTATCTGGGGGGAGGGGCGGCTGTGTCGGCTGACGGTGGCTCTGGCCATGGTCAGTCGGAGTGGCCGCCTCCACAGTCACCCGTGGGACAGGAGTTTGAGGGCCACCAAGAGAGTAGGTCCCATAGGAGGGCGCAGAGACGCGAGCGTCGGAGGACGGCTCGCGAGGCTCGCAAGAAGGAGCGTAGATTGCGAAAAAGGTCTCAGGGAATGCATCGCCTATCCATTCTGCGTAAGCAGAGACGCCCCCGCGCTCAGACCCTCGTTCGGGGCACTTGGAACACTCGTAAGTTGGGGGTTTTCGGGGGGTTGGGGGACCTGGAGATGAAGATCCAGTGTATCCTGACCCTCCTGGAGGTCCGAGGGTGGTCGTATGGTCTGCTCAGTGATTTGGCCTTTGCTCACAACGGCGTGCGGGAGTATATCTGCAGAGGACAAAAGTGGACTCTGATCATCCGCGGCCGTGTGGGGATAGTTTTGAACGCGAAGCTAGCACGGGTCTGGAGGCGAAGTCGGGAAAAAGGCAGCTGTCCCGAAGCGGGGGCACAGGTAGGGAGACTGACGAAAGCAGGAGCGTAGTTGCATTGATTCTCGTTGGGGTCTTTGCCCTTCCACCCCCCCCCATTCGCTCTCCCCCCCCCTGTTCCTTCAGTTGGCAGTAATGGTCTGTTCTTCGTTGTTCTCTGGTTTTGCTCGTTTTGCTTTTGCGTCCGTTTGCTCGTTTCTTTGGCCGGGCACGGCTCGTGGCGTTTCTCTCCGCGTCTGCTGCAGCCCAGGGGTCAATTTTCGCGCTGCCCCTCGTGCCGGCGTAGGTTAACCCTGCACCGGGGGAGAACGCAGGTTCCTTCGGGTTCCACATTGTGCCGTCGTTGGTCTCATGGCCTTCGACACCGCCCTCCCCCAGGTCCTCGGCAGCAGGAGGGCCGCCCCCATGAAGGGCTCTGCGTTGGGTTTTCTGGCAATCGTGCGAAGCCACGCCCGGTTTTTTTCTCGTTCGGCGTTGCTTTCGCCCTCCCGCCCTCCCCCCCCCTCCCCCTCCTCCTCCTGCCTTTTCCTTGTGTTCCTGCCTGTCTTCCCCCTTTTTGTCCCTTCTTTCTCCTCCTGTTGTTGTTGGGGGTTGGACCATTACTACCATCTCCCACCCCTTCTGTCTCTGTCAACGTGAGTATCCCGCCACGCATCCATTGCATGTTGCTGTGTGTGTACGCAAGGATCACGGCACTTTCCTTATCCTCGTCGCATTCGCCCGCCGCGAGCCCGTCAGGAAGGCGCTTGTGTCGGTCCGCTTCCGTTCCCGCTGCCCGGGAGCAATGGCGGCACGCAGGGCCGCTGTGGACGAGAGGTTCGCGGCGCTCGAGGCGAGAGTGACGTCGGTGGAGGGTGGGCTGCAACGCATAAAGAGGGACCTGGGCGAGGTTCGCAAGAGCTGCCACGTCGTCCTTGAGGGGTTCGACAAGGTGGAGAGCGCGTGGGCAGAACACGCACCGAGCCAGTTGTGGAGGGAGCTCCGCCTGGCAGTGCCGAAGGCGGTGGGCGAGGACCTCTGTGAGGCCCTCCAGGTGCCGTGGCCGCTGCCGCAGGAAGACTCCCAGGAGTTCCAGGCGCTGGGCGACACGGGTCTGGCTATCTCCAAGATAGTCAGTGGCCTGGCCGGCGCGGACGTGCTGGCGCACGTCTTCGACCAGTCGAGGAACACGGCCGGCGGCAGGAGCCGAGTCGAGGGCACCTTTCGGTTGACCCTCCGGTTCGGCGAGGAGTCCCTATCGGTGCAGGCGGCGCTGGCCTTTTTGGACGGGCCGCTTCGCACGGCAGCGGGCCTTCCCGTTCGCGGGAGGCCTGCGCCGCCGAGGGCGGAGGGGGCCCCTGCCACGAAGCGCAGGCTGACGTACGCGGAGGCGACGCCGGAGGAGCGGGAGCGCAAGCGCGCGCGCCAGGAGGCCAGCGGAGGCGGCCCCAAGGGCAGGGGCGGGAAGAGCAGCAAGGGGCGCGGCGGCAAAAACGGCGGCAAGGGCAAAGGAAAGAAGGGTGCCAAGGGGAAGGGGAAGGGCAAAGCCCAGGGCAAAGCGCCCGCCGCACCCGCGGCAGAGCCCGCCGCCAGCGCCCCGGCGTCCTCTGTGGCCCCGGCGCCGGCGGCAGCCCCGTCCGCAGTGGCGCGGGCCAAAGCCGCCGCTGACGCGGTGGCCGCGGTCCACGCCAAGGCCGCCCCGGCTGCTCACGGAGCAGCGGCCGCCGGCAGCGCCGACCCCCCCCCCATCGGGGGCGGGGGCGGTGGAGGCCTGAGCGCCCACCTCACCAGCGTCGCATTTTGAGGGGGCTTCACCGCGCCCCCGGCGGCGCCGCAGCGGAACGCGGTGGGATTGGTTATACAGGCTGATGCTTAGTTTCGCCCACCCCCCTCCCCCCCTTCCTCCCCCTTTCGCCTGCCCCCTCCCTCCTCTCCCCTCCCGGCCCCTGCCCCCGGCGGGCGTTCGAGGTTGCTGTGGCGACGAAGACGCTCGCGGGTGTCTAGCCCTGGCGGGTGCGGGAGCTCGCGGGTGCACTGGCCCCTTCGGTTCCTCCTTCGCCCGTCCTTCCTTTCTGGCCCCTCCCTGCTCCTCCCCTCGGCGGGCGTTCGAGGTTGCTGTGGCGGCGAAGACGCTCGTGGGTGTCTGGCCCTTGCGGGTGCGGGAGTTCGCGGGCGCACTCGTCCCCTCGGCTCCTCCTTCGTCCCCCCCCCTCCTCCCTCTTGCCCCTCCCCTTCCCCCCCTGGCTCCTCTTGCCCCTCCCCTCCCTCCCTCCCGTCCCCCCCACCCCTGCGGGCCTCGCTTTGTCCATCCTCCCACGTCTGCCCAGGCATTCCTTTTCCAGGCCCCTGCTACTACGGGGCCCTCTCCCGCCCGCCGTTCGACGGCGACTCGGCAGAGGACGAGGGCGAGGGCGAGGAGCTGGCCGTCGCCCTGGGGATGCCCGAAGGGGTTGCGATGAGGCTGCGAAAGGCAGTCTATGGGCTCGTGGAGGCGGCAATCGAGTGGTTCATGACGGTGAGCGAGGCCCTGGAGGAGTTCGGCTGGACGCAGATGAAGATGGACCCATGCGCCCGGGTGCTCCACGGTCAATCTTACGGCCAGGACACCAGATTCACTAAGGAGGCCCTGGGTCAGTTCACCGCATCTGAGGTGATGGGCGAGCTGATCGCGGCGAAGAGTGACCTGGACATTGCGGCTATCGCGAGGTCCCACGTGGATGACTTCCTGCTCGGAGGGAAGGAGACGGGCCCCAGGCGGATCGAAGCCCGGAAGAAGATCGAAGAGTGATTCAAGTGGAAGGCATGGGAGGCCGACGAGTTCATGCAGACTGGTGTCCGGATCAGGCAGCTGCCAGGCATGAGCTTCAAGATGGAGCAGAGTGAGCATGTCAAGACCATCGAGAAAGCAGTCGTGAGCCCGGAGCGAAAGAAGAACAATGACGCCCCGACCACAGACAAGGAGAAGGGGCAGCTGAGGGCAATCCTGGGCGCCACGGCTGGCGTTCCGAGCAGTCAGGTCCCATGCGCTCGGCGGACGCAAGCCTGTTGCTCATCACGATGCCATCATCCACCGTGCAGACCCTCCTGGACACGAACCGCCTGGTGGACAGGGCGCGGGAAGGAGCAGACCTCCCAGTGGCCATCCACGGCCATTCTAGCGCGCAGGTAGTCGTTCCCATCGAGTGGTCAGATTCCTCGGGGGCGAACCGCCCCGACGGAAAATCCACCAAGGGACTTGTCACAGAGATGGCCCCACTACGCATCCTGCAGGGGGATGAGTCAGACGTGAGCATGATCTCATGGAAGTCAGGGAAGATTGACCGAGGGTGCCGGAGTTCCGCAGCATGTGAGGCCCGATCAGCTGTAGACGGTGAGGACGAACTGTTCGGGGTCAAGCTCCAGTGGCTGGAGATACTCGGCAACCAGATTGACTGGCGCAACCCGGAGGGGGCCCTCAGCCAGCTACCCGCCGCCCTCGTGGTGGACGCCAAAGGTTTCTACGACAAGCTGCAGACCACGGTGCGCACATTCCGCGGCAAGGAGAAGAGGACTGACGTGGATGACCTGCGTCCAACAACTGGGTGCTGTGGGTGCACGGAGACGCTCAGCTGGTGAACTTTTTGACGAAGGGGCATGAGCCCCGACAGCTGAGGATCCACTACAAAAGTGGCCACAGGTGGAAGCTGGTCCACGACGCCAAGTACCAGAGTGCCAAGAGGCGGAAGGCCGCGGGGATCCTTCCATTCGAGAGCGTCCCTCCTGGAGTGCTGCGCCAGGAGGATGCAGGAGAGGATGCCACGTACGCTGCAGCAGGTGCTGGAACTAGTCTCGCGGGTTTCCCAGAGTACGAGGCACAGAGATGGAGAGCTTATGGACTGAACCATGCTCAGCTTGGAGAACCCTTATTCGCGCAAGCTTCAGAGGGCAAGCCTGAGCAGGTCATTCATATTACATGACACATCTGAGCCGACCGTGTGTACAGGTCCTTCGGTGCGGGGCCCAAAGTGGTGTACCCTACGAGGCTCTGGAGTTTTCTTAGGTAAGTTCTAGGGGCGCGGGTTCCGTGGTGGGACCGTTGTAACATGCACGTGCGTGTGTGGCCATCTGTTGCAGGTTCTATTTCGCCGTTTTGCCATTCTGTCAAGCGAGTGCCCCCTCGCTTGTGCCCCGTAGAGGGCTCCACCTAAGGCCCCAGTGGCGACGTGCCCACGGGCCCCTACCACCCATTTTCGGCACGCGCCCCCCGCGCGCTTCGCGGCCCCATAGGGCGCGCCACCCAAGACGATATGCACAATTGCGGCAGTCACAACTGCAAATGGTTGGGCCCTTCGCCAAGCGATTCTTTTCAGCAAGCGGCAACGGCCCGAGCCCACGGGCCCCCAGGAATGCCCCCGCAAACGTCGCCACTGATCTCCGAGGGAGCCACCGACGTCCGCGCGCGAAGCCGCCCTGCGGCGCCCCGACACGCCCCCGCCCGACCCCCCCGGGCCCTGCGCGCAGCCCGTCGAGGCGGTCGCCCATCGCCGCAGAGTCCGGGCCCGCGCGGCGGTCGCGCCCCGCCCGAAGCATCTCCGCCAAGGAGGGCACTCCACTCTGCAGGCGCCCCCCGCGGCATGCATCTCGCCGTCAAGTTCGTCGCCGAGGCGGGCGCCTCGCTTTGCGCGACCCCTCCCGCGACGGGCGACCCATTGGACGCGCGAGCCGAAGGGCGCGTGCCCCGCACAGCAGAGCATCTCGAGGCAGGCGCACCACCCTGCGAGGCACGTTCCAGACACGCCACCCACCGCGGACACCGCCCACCAGGATGGCACCCCGCACTCCAGCCGCCCCCGCAGCAAGCGCACCCAGACTGCAGTGACCCACCGAAGGTGGCCACCCAATGTGCAGCCCCCCACCCACTCTGGGCACCCCATTGTGCTATGACCCCTGGCACCTCGGGCACCCTCCCGGCTCGGATGGACCCGGGGCAATGCGCGGTCTGCCGACCCCCCCCCCGCACCTCGGCCATCCTCCCGGCCGCCGATTCAAACAATGTTGCGAACGAGCGGCCTGGGGTAATGCGCGGTCTGGCGGCACCTCCCCCCGCGCCTCGGGCCCCCCCTGGCTCGGATGGACCCGGGGTAATGCGCGGTCTGCCGCCCCCCCCCCCGCACCTCGGGCACCCCCCCGGCACGGATGGGCCCGGGGCAATGCGCGGTCTGCCGGCCCCCCCCCGCACCTCGGCCACCCTCCCGGACCAGACCTGGAGTAATGCGCGGTCTGCCGACCCAAACCCGCACCTCTACCATCCCCCCGGCTCGGACGGAGCTCGGGCGGGGCGCGGTCTGCCGAGCGCCCCGTAACCTCGGCCATTCTGCCGGCTCGACCCACGGGGGGCGCGCCATTTGCGCCCCCCCCCCCGCCCCCCCACCCCCCAGCCCCAATGCGTTGCCCGCCGCGGCCGCGGCGAATGCAGACCCGAGCTCGGAGGCAACGTGGCGCGCGCTGACGGCCCCAAGAGCGACCGGCGTAAGATCGCGCCTCCTCGATCATGAACAAACAATGACACTGGCGGGCGCGGCGGCGCCCCCTCCGCGTCGCGCATAGGCACGTCTGCCCCGAACGCAAGTGCGGGCGGCGGGCCGTTGAGTCCCGCCAGCCCTTTGGGCGTGAGTGGTTTAGCGAGCTCTCTCTGTTCTCAACCCCCTACCCCCCTATCTTCCCCTTCGGGGAGGGGTTCACCCCTCCCCCTACCCCCTCCCCTGGGCCTGGAGAGGGCGTCCCGAGTGCAATCAAGGGGGTCTTTTTCGACTCCTGGGAGGGCCAAAAAACGACGACCCTCACGAGGATTCTGGCCCCCAGGGGGGGGGGGGGGGGGTGCGCTTGGCGCCTCAGCTTGTCTTCGAAGTCAAAAACATTGCTTTTACGAAGGTTGTGGCCCCATTTTGGCCTTCTGATGGGGGCCGCGCTCATCTTCCCTCATAGCAGAATCATTGATTTTACGAAAGTTTTGGGCTCATGTTGCCCTTCTCAGGGGGCAGCTCTCCTTTGCGCTTCTGCGGAGGTCGCAAGAGGCCCCAAGATGGCCCCAAGAGGCCCCAGGAGGCCCCCAAGAGGCCCCCAAGAGGCCCCCCAGAGGCCCCCAAGCGGCCCCAAGAGGCCCCCAAGAGGCCCCCAAGAGGCCCCAAAGAGGCCCCACGAGGCCCCAAGAGGCCCCCAAGAGGCCCCACGAGGCCCCAAGAGCCCCCCACGGCCCCCAAGAGGCACCCAAGAGGCCCCCAAGAGGCCCCACGAGGCTCCAAGAGGCCCCCAAGAGGCCCCACGAGGAGCCCGAACGACTCACATCAGGACGAGGGGCCCGAACGACTCACACCACGAAGAGCCCGAACGACTCACGCCACAAGGAGGGGCCCGAACGACTCACACCAGGACGAGGCGCCCGAACGACTCACACCACGAGGAGCCCGAAGGACTCACACCACGACGCGGGCCCCGAACGACTCACACCACGAGGAGCCCGAACGAGTCACACCAGGAGGAGGGGCCCGAACGACTCACACCAGGATGAGGGGCCCGAACAACTCACACCACGAGAAGCCCGAACGACTCACACCAGGACGAAGAGCCCGAACGACTCACACCACGAAGAGCCCGAACGACTCACACCAGGAAGAAGGGCCCGAACGACTCACACCAGGACGAGAAACCCCAAACGACTCAAATCACGAGGAGCGCTTTCTCCCCCTCCTCCTCCGCCTCGCCCTTCTCCCGCCCCCCTCGCAAGGAGGATGGGGAAGGAGGGGCAGGGGAGATATGCGAGGCCAAACGGACACACGCCTGAAAAACACGACTGTCGGCATGCTTCGCGAGAGTTGCTGCAGTGAGATGGGCTGGTGGGGATACGCGAAGCGTAAAGAATTGGGAATTGGCGCAGGGCCTGGGCACTAGGTTGATCGCGGCACGCAGGCGCCGCCGGCCCCGCTGGGCGCGGCTTCGCACGGCCGAAACGCGCGCCCAATAGCTCCCTGCGCGAACGCGCGCCTGCGAGCTGCAATCAGCAGACATGGCTCGGCTGACGGCGAGACGCGGGCCCCCGCCGACTGCGGGCCCAAACTCGCTCGCGCCCCGCGCGAGACAGGCGCGCGGCGCACCGCGCAGCTCCCGTGTGCGCGGCGCAGAACTCACTGCCGAATGGCAACGTTAAGCTTGAAAACCAACGGACGACAACCTATTGTTCCATTCTTTATGGCTTAAAAATGGAAAAACTGCACTGCGACGCGCGTGCGACTTTCCGATTGCCCGCCTGCGCGCGCCACGCCAAAAAGAGCGTCGCCGTCGCAAGACGAGCGTCGCCAAGCGAAAATTGAATTGTGAAAACCACATGTTTCACCCGTGTTCGCATGGTCCCAACGTAGCAGAACGCAGCGCGATGCAATGCGCGGCACCAACTGCTCGCGACCGGCGTGCGCGAAGCCAAAGAACCGATGCAGCGTGTCCACCCTAAGCTCGACAACTAAATCGTGTTCACAAAGTGTCTGCCTCGCATTCCGAAGGCGCCCCAACGTGCAATGATGCAATGCGATCCAATACGCGTTCCTCAGTGCTCGTGCGCGCGCGTGCCAGCGCTCATGCGCGCGCGCTCTTGCGCGCAGCGTAGATGTTGATACCGAATGCACATCGTAATTTCGGAAGCTCAATGGCGAAAACCAGACATCCCACTAGTATCCTGGGGGGGTCAACGTGGAATAGTGCATTGTAGCACAGTGCGTTTCCTCCTTGCTCGCGCGCGCGCGGGCGCGCGCGCGCTGGCGCCCGCGCGAGCGCGACTCAAAAACCGAAGTCACACCGCAATCTCAATTTCGAATATTGAGCAGCGATGACAAACTCTTTCACATGTACCCTGCAGGCCAAAACGCACACTGCATTGCGGCGCAATGCATATTCCTCGTTGCCCGTGCAAAACGCGACAACCTGCGCCGAAAGGCCATCTTAATTCAGGACAACTGAACGTCGAAAGTCAATCGTTCCACTAGTATTCTTGGGCCCTAACGAGAAAGAACGCATTGTGGCGCAATGCCCCTTCCTGGTTGCTCGCGCGCGCGCGCGCCTGCGCGCGCGCGGCGCGGAAATCTCCAGGGCAACCGATGCCGAATGACCATTTTACTTTCGAAGACTGACTGAATGGCGAAACCAATCGTTCCCTACCTAGGCTCTGCTTAGAAGGGTTCTTACCGTGAATCTTAAAGGGGCCGGGCAGTGGGGCTCGCCCCGGGCGGTTCCCCCGGCGCCCGCCCCGTGGTTCCCACAGCGACGTCCCCTTAGCTTAGTGCTTATCTCATCTTAGCCTAAATGATTTCATCTTAGCTTAGCTTAGCTCCATCTTAGCCCAAGTTTATCTTAGCTTAGCTTACCTTCATCTTGGCTCCGCCGAGCTTTAGCAAAGCAGAGCACAGCGCAGCATAGCATCACGTAGCGCAGCACAGCGCAGCACAGCATGTCATAACAAAGCCCAGCAGAGCACAGCATAGCATAGCATATCATAGCAAGCCATAGCGCAGCGCAGCACAGCACAGCACAGCACAGCATAGCACAGCGCAGCATAGCACAGCGCAGCATGACACATCATAGCTTAGCATAACACAGCATAGCATAGCGCAGAATAGCATTGCATAGCGCAGCATAGCATGGCATGGCATGGCATGGCATGGCATAGCAACTAATGATGCTTTCCTAGGGGCTCCAACTTCTAGGCAGGGTCGCACTGGGGTAGTTTTCACTCGTGCTCTGGAGGCCGACAACGTGGAATCCTGCATTGTGGCCCAATGTACTTTCCCAGTTGATCGCGCGCACAGGCAATGCGAATTT